CCGCCTACCCTCTCCTTCCTCCCTGGGGAAAATATCTGCGTTGCAGCATTTTGAGTACAAACCGCTATCAATCACTGACTACAAACTACCCCCTTCAGCAGAGAACTGTTGAATTTCTTTGTTATTCTAACCACGTAGTTATCCCATTAATTCATTTATGCAGCACAGCGCAACTCCCTCAAGGAAGAGTATGATGTTTACACTAAACGCATTCTTCCACAGGTGGTTGTTGCATTGTTTTAGTTAGCTCTGACTTGAACATGATCTTCTATTAATGTTTCTGACTCTTGCTATAATTGTTGTTAAAGTTATTTCTGTTGTTGTTACCATGCTATTTTATATGCTCATGTAGAACCACATATCTAAACTCGGTGAAATTCTATGCTCATGCAGTTTGAGCTTTTCGATCGTTAATTCAAAATTTTTAAAAAATAAATAGAACAGGCCAACGCAACATGCTACTGCACTGGATATTTAACCATAATTATGTCGTGTTTTACTATCGTATCCATACGACGTGGGGAACTCTGTGCCACCAATGTATAAAGAGGAAACTTACTCGTTAATCCAACCAGTACGCTTTGCATAGCAGTCTGTCAAAATGATATTTTGAGAAATACTGAAAGTTTCAAAGATATCTTCGCACTAGAAGTATTCTGAAATGTGAAGAATACAACCCCAGGTGTACAAAATGACCCCAGGCGTACGGACAGGGTTAACTACGATGTACTGTGCCTTATTTCGTTACATTTACTGTGTCTACTAACTGACAGCACAAAATGTCTTGCTTTCCTAACAATAGAATCGTGTTAATATAATGTAACCTGTTCTTTGTACTTGGTCTCTCCTCAAATACAGGCCCGACTTTGAAAGTAGACAATTTTGCAGCCGTTTGATAAATCGTAATGAAAGTTGTAAGCATACTTGTGCTCTTAAGGACCACCATGAAAATGATTTTCAAACTCATGTAAACCATTTTTAAGATAGTGCACTAGATAAATTATACCCCCCCCCCCAAAAAAAAAAATAAAAAATATAAGTTTAAAAAAATAGGCAAGAGAACTTCAACAAACGTTTCAATAGTCTGCAGTACAATAATGTGTAAGAACTGAAAATCATAGAAATTCGTTTAATAACACGCGCATTTCATGACATAGAAAAATATGTTAGTGTTACAGGTAGCAACAGTGAGGAGGCTTCAGTACACGATTCTCAACCTGTGTCTAATGTCACTCTCAAATAAATGTGTGTTTTACCAGGTACATGAAATCACTACTGTAACTTTTGATATTGTAAGTCACGTTGAATAATTCACATGCATAGTTTTTATTAAGATATAAAGAAGCAATGTGGAAAACTGGGCCGTTTTGCCAGTTCAGTAGTACACAATTTTGAGGTCAGTAAAGTAAATAAATTCTATGCAAAATGTCAGCAAATTCCACCTAACGGTTCTCTTGATATTGCTGCTTTAAGCTGGGCACATCTTTGTGGACAGACTTTAATTACTATTGAACATTTTCTGAAATAAAGCGAGTAATAGCCTAGTTGTATTGTCTACCATGTTTTTGAGTCTTTTGTGAAAGCGAATCCCTTGAGATATTATCATTTTGTACGCATATAGATATATCGTTCATTTCTGGGAATTTGTTATACACACACACAAACACACACACACAC